GAACGCGGAATAGAGGATGCGAACGCGATGAGGAAAATATGCAGAGCTACGCGATCGCGAGCCTTATTACGCGAACTCGAAGAAGGAAATTGGGGCGATCAGCAGAGATTCTTCGCGAATGCGAAAGGAGCTTCACGATCGCAGAAAAGGATATCAAACACCAGAACCAGCAGTTTCAAAACAAGGGAAAATGACTCGTAGCCACCCGGAACACACCCGAGGCCCCCGGGACCCCGTCTAAAATAACCTAACACGGACTCGCCCGAGGTCTCAGATCACATCAATCAACGCCGAAATGCAAATCGCTTATGAACTTCCGAATCTTCCAACTTCTAGAACTCGCGCCGAGACCTATCAAATCAACCTGGAATAACGCCAAATTTTGCAGACAAGTCCAGAATGACATAAAGGAGTTGTTCCATCTCTCGGAATCGCATTCCGACCCCGATATCACAAAAGTCAACTATGGATCAAACTTCTCCATTTTTCAAACTTCAACTTTTCCAACTTTCGCGGAAATACCTCAATTACTCTACGAACCTCCAAATCCAGACGCGCGTAAGTCCAAAATCACCCTACGAAGCTGCTAACATCATCCAAAACACATTCCGGAGCGTTTACTCAAAAGTCAAATTCCGGTCAAATTCTCATTGCTTAAGCTCCCAAAACTAGATTTCTTCTTCCAATTCAATTATGAATAATCGGTAACTGAATTCAACTATGCACGCAAATCGATAAACATAATATGAAGCTTTTACGACCTTATGCCTCTGAACGGAGCTTAAATTCTCAGAATGACCGGCCGGGTCGTTACATTTACACCAGAAATGGGCAAACTATATACAATTAATTGGAGTACTCTATTAAATATGCCGAGTTTATTTAGGACTAGAATATACTTCTCAATCTACCAAGGAGGTTTTGCCAAGTCCAGTTTAAAAAGTACTCCAATTGTATACCGATGCATCATGGCAGCCCTATAGGCCTCTATAAACACGTATTTCAAGTTTTCAACTAGTTAAAACTGATTTACTTCAGCGAGTCAATGTGCCTTCGAGTCCATTGTTAATATAATAGAAATTTGTGTTCTTTCCGCTTATGGTGTAAGAAATATTTACACAGTCAAATTATTTAAAAAGTAATTACATATAATTTTATTTAATATGCCTTAATTGTTAACTTAGGGTAAATGATAAATAAGGTGCTATAACAGGTTAAATAACATAGATGAAGCAAAACAAATTAGTACACATTTACACTGTGCATATAACTTAAATACATACTATAAAACATCATGTTTAAAAGACGGCCTCTTAAACTCAAACATAGCTATTTGTACTTTTTTTTAAGAGAAAATCTCACTTTATACCCATTAATTCCAAACTATTTACCCTTTAATGCCCAGACCCAAACTATTTACTACTCCTACCCATGCTCCCCAAACTATTTACCCGCCTTTCTTCTTCTTCCTCCTCATTTTACCTTCCTCACTTTGTACCTATCGTATTTTTTCCTATATAAAAAATAATCCTTGTAAGGCCATCATCACCACATGCAAGGCCAAACATGAAGGAAGTTGCTTTGATCATCAATTCTATTAAGGAAGATGATGAGAAATCCTTGTCCATATTCAGCAGTGAGGTCTGATTAATATTCACATGGTTAGTCCCAACAAGTTTATCCTTGTTTGCCCATGCATTTACATAACTACTATGCCAAGACTTGTCCTAAAGTTGAAATTCTTGTTGGCTCAGTAACCTCCCAGATGTTCAAAGATGCCCCTGCCTCTGGCCCTACCACCATTCGCCTCTTCTTTCATGATTGCTTTGTTGAATTGGTGCTATTATTTTGAAGATTTATTGTTTGATTCGATGTGGTGCTATAAAATATTGCTTATAGTATCTTCGAGTAAGCTCCCCGGATCTAAATTTTTATGTGTATTTTAATATCCACCATTGTTGGGCTTGAAGCTCAATTTTATTTTTGAAGATTTCTTGCTTGATTCAAAGTGGGTGCTGTTAAATATTGCTTATAGTACCTTCTGGAAGTTCATACTGAAATTTGATAGATTTGGAGCTGATTTGAGGTGATTGAGATCGAAATTTTCATTTGAAAATCGAAGAAGAACACAGCTACAGTATACCTACGGCATACAATATGTTGTAGGAGTATATAGCTATACTGCAACAGTATACTATTATAGTATACAATATATTGTTATAGTATACTGTAATAATATGCAATATACTGTAACAATATGTTGTAATAGTAAACAATATACTATAATAGTATACTTATTACCCGTAAATTCACTTGCCTTTTCCCTTTTAATTTGCTTTAAGCTTTTACCCAGCGTGAGAGGCAAATTGAAAATGCAAAAAAAATATAAAAAATATTATAGTATGTTATATAATGTAACAGTATACTCTTACAATTAGATCCTTTTAGAATTTTTTGAAATTTTTATTGACAACTGATATTATTTCAATTTAATAATTTAATTAAACTTTTTTAACTCTTTGCATACAATTATATACCCTATTGGTACAAATATATACTATACTGGTATCAAATGTTAGTTAATATCTTTTTGGTTGTATTAGCTACATTTAATTGGTACACAATTTGATTTTTCTTTAGTGATAATATATAAAAAAGAATAATAAAAAATAGTAAAAATAGTAAATGAAATTAGATTATGAAGAGAAAAAGAATATAAAAAAAAGTTAAATGAAATTAGAAAAGGAAAAAAGAAAAAAAAAGAAGAAAACGAGAAAAAAGAAAAGGAGAAAAAAAAATAAAAGAAAAGAAGCATAGAAATAACAAAGAATTGGAGAATAAAGAGAAAATTCCCCACAAAACCTACTATGGGTAGGAAATATAATTAGTTTATAGGTAGAAAAATAAATGGATAGATAAGGATAAATAATTTTGTTTTTGTGGGTAACTGTGTCAAAACGCTTTTTTTTAGAGCTCAATATGGATCGGCCGAAGCAACCCCTCTCTTTTCTTTCTAAGTCTCCTTTTGGATAAATCAAATTGTAAAGATGGATTCTGCCCATCATACCTTTGTTGGGTATTGTAATTAAAACAAAAGAGGCGTGAATGAAAAATGGTGGGAAAAGAAATGGAGGAAAATGGAATTTTGAATTAGTTCATTTTACAAAGAAACTTTGTCCCTCATTGGATAGGAAGAAGAAAATTCTTGTGCTTATATATGGAAGCACTTCTTCTAGCTCTTAAAGAGTTGAGAAGAGAGCAAGCCTCACTCGCTTGGCTCGGCTTTAGCTTTGGCTTCGGATTTGGTCAATTAATATGATTGCCAAAACCTTCATCCATCGTGTATAGGTGTGATTGATAATTTTTTGGACCAATTTTATTTTCCTTTTCCATCATTTAATATTTTCTTTTCTAATATTTTTGCGTAGAATTGTTTTTCAACGGTCAAATTCGCGACCACACATTCCATTCAATAGAAATTCAACTAATTTCTGCGGACTAGACACCTTATCAACGAACAGGCACCTTTACACCTGTTGGACTCAACTTCTTTGGCTATAAATAGAGAGGCTTAGCCTCATTTTCCACCACCGAAATCTAAAAATCTCTCTCCTCTATCTTCTGCCTTCTGCATCGTTTTTCAAAGCAAAAACATAAGCCTTTGTGTGATTTGCTCCGCCATTTGAGTTCGCCGAAGTTCTGTGATTTGAAATGCCGCTATCACAGAATAGTTATTTCGTTCTATCCTGGGAGGAACTAATCCGAAACCTTGAGCAACTGTGAGGGGATTAAATTCCTTAAGGACATACAAGAAGCTTGTGGACTTAAAATTTTCTGCTTTTTGTTATCTTAAACTGATGTTTTTTTATTTTCTGATTTTAAATGCAGAATACTAACAATTATATATTTCTCCTATGGGAACCCTTTGGAAAAAGAAAAAAAAAAGATGGTCAAATCATGATGTAGTTCAACTCGCGGTTACTGATTGTATACGGTATAAACCTGGCTCGCCCCTTGTGTGATTAATCGAGACTAAAATATAATAGGTTAAGGTTCGAACCCATGTTATATCGAACCATGATACAAAGTTAGATCGTCAGCTCGTGACCTGGAGACCGATCAAGATTGAGATCGAGTAAGGTCGAGACCGAGTAAGATAGAGACCGAGCAAGATCGTGGGAAACTTATCGAGCGAAATAACGGAAAATCGGAATATTCGCAATCGATCGAGGATCACGGCGGAAATCCCAGCACATATCAAGAAGAGGCTGATTAATTAGCTCATCATGAGATTTCTTACCTCATATAGAACTATATCAAGAGTAGGACTCCCCGACTATATAAAGGGGGTCTGATCATTTTTGAAACACATCACATTTACGCAACCTAAAGCAATAAACTATCATTTTTCAGCTTTCATTATCTTGTTACTCTATTCATGCATCAGTTGAAACATCTTTGGTTCAAGGGTGATTAAACTCGAGGGCCAAGGCTATTCGATTCGTGTGGTTTGCATTTATTCTTTTATCGTCAATTTCAATATTAATCTATTCTTCTTTTGTATCAAGTTATATCACGTATTCTTAAAACCGCGTATAAATTCAATTGTTATCCGATTTTAGGGTAACCACTGATACTACTTGTACAATTTTCCCCATAAATAGTGTGAACAAACTGATACCTGATGAAAGATGTAACATTCTCACCAAGGAAAATGAAGAAGTGCAATACGAAGCTATGTCGTCATATATGTATGTGCACCGGAATGATTGTGCATCTAAGGCAAACCACAAGTTAATTACCAGCTGAAGTTTTTCAAACAGATCCTCTCTAGGTTTAATCCATCGGATCCTTTTAACTTCTAAAATAAGGAGATATGAGTAAGCTCTAATTTTAGTTCCTTAATTAGTAAATAAAATGGTTCACCCAAAAGGAACATCATATGCGTTGTTTAATACTTAGACAAACGGAAATTGATAGGGAAAAAATGGTTTGATTAAAGTGACTCAAAACATCGGTCTTCTCATGAAAAGCTTAATGAAGTAGTGAATGGACGCATTATATTTAGGCCAATTAACTAGGTCCATCATATTCATGATGAAGAGGAAATTAAAGAGCGATATATGGAATAATCAAGATTAGTAGGACGGAGTTGTAAAAATAAAATGTGGAAAATACTAAAGAGGAACCCAAGCTATAGCAAACACAACATTATGTCCTTTCCATGTAAGCACAATATCTTCCTCATCCCTCTTTAGCCCCCACCCAGCTGCATGCTCATCCAACATGTTCTTCACTTCCGAAACTGAATCTTCACTAAAACCACTGCTCCTAAAATTGGCGTTTCTCATCCGTTGCACCCACTGACTCTTCGGCTCGAGCCTCTCGAGTCTTTGAAGACCCTCGTGAGCTATAACATTTTCTATCTTCCAACAAATGTCAGCTTCATACCACTGCCTTTGCTTGCTACCTCTCGGAAGAAATGTATCCATAGTATCATAAGGTATCCATAGATAATTAAAGGCCGACCTTAATCTGCAGACCAGATTATTAGACGTAAAATCCGCGTCTTCATCCACTAACACTACAATTGTCGGGTCTAAATTCCTAATAGCCTTAAGAAACATAGTACGAAACGAGGAGACTGAAGAATTAATACTCTGATCCAAAGGAAATCGAGGGGAAAGTACTGTTGTTTCCTCTGGTATATAATGAAGCATCATGTGACAATTTATTACTAGTGCCTCGCCATTCTCTGGACGTATTAAATTTTGGACACGTAGCTGTTCGATTACATTCGAAAACCCGTCCGATGAACTTGAAGGAATCACTCTAAATTCCATCATCACATTTCTTGACCTTGCGAAATTTACCAACTTAGCACCTAATTCCTCATAAGAAAGATCAAGCATAGGTGGTAAATCTTCTGTTGCACCAGCTACCGTAAGTTTGACCAACGGAGGTCCTTCTAGTCGAGTAGAAATAGCATCAATAAGTGTGGGAATTTGCATGCAATGAGTCAAGCTAAAATCAACAATATGAACAATAGAGTAACCTTCTACAGCTTCTAATATAGCTCCATTAGCGGCCGTGAACCCGAAACGATGCCACGGGGTTAAGTCAACGAAACCGGCTAGCTCTATGATAGAGAATTTATGTGTTTCCATCGAATGATTGAGATTGGCAGTGAGTAATTTGCAAGTCCCAATTTTTGCAGCGCGAACGATAAGGGCTCGGAGGAAACCACAAGCGAGGCGTTGGTTAGAGTCACCATCTGGAGGAGCAATGTTGTTAAGGACCCATAAAATTTGTTGAGCTAAAGTTGGGTCATTGCTTTCGATCGCGTTGGCGCAATGGACTAACAATTGTTCCATGCAATTAGCGTCGCCTATAGTTCCCAAGTTTTTCGATGTTGGAAAACCAGGCCACGGTCTTGCGCGTTGGATCTGATTGTCATTCTTGTTCAACATCAGACTTGAAAATATTGGTGAAACTTGTTGGTGAAATGATGGAGGTAAACTCTCAGTAAATTGCATCATGAGAGGAAGGAATTAGAAAATAGTATAGGGGGAGATAGAAGGTAGTGAATTAATTAAATTGGTGATATGGGGCGGCTATTAGTTTTGGTATTTTTAGACATAAGAAGGAGAGAAGACAGAAAGATGGAAAAAGACTAGACTAGTAGTGGTACCTGACCATTATTGGGAAACGATCCATTAGTGGGTTGCGCTGCTGCCTATAGAGCAGATACCTTTTGCAATATTCTGCAAATGAATCAACGATAATTGACTCTTCAACTTTTTTTGTCCAAGAGTAAAAACGACTGATGAGAAAATCTCTTATCTCTCACCCCAATGAATTAATACTGCTTTAGGTTAAAGTCAATATTGGGCAAAAGAGACACTAATAAGGACTTCTCATAAGGAGAAACTTTACAAAAGGGATTAATGTTACTGCATCTTCTTTATCAGAGACAGAGAAGAGAGGAGAGGAAAAGAGAGTATGTGGAAGAAAAAGAAATGGGTAATATAAGAAATAAAGGTGGCTGAGGCTGGGATTTCTGTTGGATTTTGGTGGCATGTGAAGTAGCCGGCCAAGGAGTTGTCAATATGTGAGAGTTGAGAATTTGTCACGTAATGGACTGAGGGAAAAGATTGAAGTCAGTTAGTTTTGGCTCACTCACGGGTTTTTCAATCTCAGTACATCATCATGCACAAATCATTTTAGTCACTTCATATTCCATATATGCAGAGTAGATATTATTTGCATATATTCTGAGAATAAAACTTTTTGCAGATATTGGTCTTTATTTTTTTGGGGTAGCCTAAATATATATTGATGGAGAAGTGTCACTCCGTGTGTGAGCGGTCCACAAATTAAAGTTGCATGTTATTACAATTTGTCTGAGGGACCTTAGCTTGAACAGACCGCGGTAGCCAAAATAATTCTCATGCATCGGTACGATGGATGACAAGTCCTTATCTGAATTAGCTAATTGATCGTCCTAAAAAATTTATTCTCCAGAACATTTACAGTAAGATATACTCAAGGGCGGAAGGAGGGTGTTGTCCAACCAATAACTTTTTACTTAGACCCTCTGGTTGTACTAGAAAATCTATTAAATATGTATAAATACTTAATCGTGAACCCAGTAACTAACGAGCTATGGGTTCGGTTGTAAATTCAGGACTCATAAACTTTAAATCCTGGCTCCACGTTATCATGTTCTTGCGGAGAACTGTTGCTCCCAAGCGCACACGCAAGTATACGTGGTCGACAAGTATAATATAGGATTGTAAGTCCAGATATCGTACCAACAAGGACTTGTGATTAACCATCAACTAAATTAAACTAAGACAATTAATCTAGTCAAGCGATTTTCTAATTAAAGTATGAATATTTTACTAAAACTAATCTAGAATAGTAAACTATGAAATAAAAGGAGACAAGTCTGCAATCTTAGAGATGAATTCAATGGGAGAAAATATTCCAGAGCTATGGGTTAGTTAACAATCCTGTTGAGTCTTCCACTTAAATCGTCTAATTAATTTATCTGGTTTATTGGTTGACAGGGTTAATATTGCTTGTAGCCTTTTCCCGAAGTACTACTTGCCTATTCAAGCTAACCCAACGCCTAGATTCCTATGGAATTAGGATTAAGAAGAACGCATTAATAATTCCCGTATAATAACCAAGTAAGGCGATTAGGTATATCCCTATCCTAACCGCAAATCTGTTCCCGATGCTCGAGTTCAAGATCTTGCTCTACTCAATCTTATATGCAATCTAAAATTCCCTCTCTCGAGTTCAATCCTAGATTCGTAGATAGTATTCAATTGGTGATCAAGCAATCATATAGTTAAGCGCAAGATTGAATAAATAAACCAATATGATAAAATAATAAGAATAATTCAAGCTTCGAACTACAACGTTCATGTAGCACCCACAACTCTAGAACTAATAAACTCTGAAACTAAAAGAAGAAAAAAGAAGAAAAACTAGTTAAAAGTCTCCCCCAAGCGTGGTATGTGTTCCCCCCACGTGAATTCTCTTTCAAAGTATGTTAGATATCCTCCAAATTAGGTTTAGACTTACTTTTATACGAGTTGGGGGGAGAGGGGGGGGGGAGATCTTGGGCCGAAATAAACTTGTCCCTGGCGAAGTAGGAGATGTTTCCCCTCACCAGCACTCAGAGTAGCGTGGGGCGCTAGCCCTGGCACAGGAAAAATGAAAATTCTCGAAATTGGGCCACAGGTAGCGCCCCACGCTGCCTATGGCCCTAGAAATCAACATTTTCAACTTTTTCTCCTTTTTTGCTCTAATCTCGCACACTTCACCCTTATATGATGACCCGAAAAGTCATCTTAAGAATTAGAACCCAATTATGTGCTTCTAAGCTTTAAACACCTCATTTTATCCCTCCTCAATTTGCGTGCGCAGTTCGTGCGTGTTTCCAAGAAACTTTTGTGTTAAAAACTAACAAAAATAAGAATTTTTTGCTTAAAAACTTTATTTGAGTTGACTTCGGTCAATATTTTTGATAAACGGACCCGAATTCGTAATTTGACGGTTGCGGTGGGTCCGTATTGTGATTTGAAACTTGGGCGTATGCCCGGAATTGAAATCGGAAGTACCTAGCCCGAGATATCGGACTTTGTCGAAGTTTAAAAGTTAAAGGCTTAAAGAATTTAAAATGATTGACCGAGATTTCACTTTTTAGATATCGGGTCCGTATTTTGGTTCCGAAACCCGGTATAGGTCCAATAACATATTTATAACTTGTCTGTAAAATTTGCTGAGAAACGGAGTTGGTTTGACATGATTCAGACGTCCGGTTGTGAAAATAGAAATTTCAATTATTTGGTGTTAAATTCATAGTTCTAGGTGTTATTTTGGCGATTTGATTGCGCGAGCAAGTTCGTATGATGTTTTAGACTTGTGTGCACTTTTGGTTTAGATCCCCGAGGCTCGAGTGAGTTTCGGATAGGCCACAGAGTGAAAATTGGACTTAGAAATGTTGCTGGTATTTGCAGTTCTGTTGCAGGCCTCTGATCTCGCATTTGCGAGATCAGGCATCGCATTTACGACCTCTGAGGGGCTCGCATTTGCGAGCTACTGCGAAGAGTAGCTGGGCCACACAGATTTCGTATTTGCGAAACAATCTTCGCATTTGCGAAGTGAGTCTGGGAAAAGTAGTGACGCAAATGCGATCTTTGGGTCGCAATTGCGGAGGGCCATGTTCGCATTTGCGAACTAATCTTCGCATTTGCGAAGGCAGCAGAGGTGTGAAGGGCTTCGCATTTGCGATGTTTCCTTTGTATTTGCGGGATTTGCATTTGCGGGCTTCGCATTTGTGAAGCCCAAATGCGAAGCCAAGGTCGCAAATGCGACATCTACAGGTGGTTAGACGGGATTTTTGATTCATTCTTCAAATTTTCAAACTCAAGAACCCTAGAGGCGATTTTCCAAAGAACTTTTCTTCCCAAAATCACTGGTAAGTGATTCTAAGCTAGTTTCTTTCAATTTTTCACTACATTTCCTTTGATTTCAACCTAAAATCTAGAGTTTTCATCGTGGGAATCGGAGATTTTTGGGTAGAAATTAAGGATTTGGTAAAATAGGGATTTAGACCTCAAATTGAGGTCGGATTCCAAAATAAATTACATAACCGGGCTTGGGGGTTAATGGGTAATCGGGTTTTGGTTCGAATTCCGGGTTTGGACAAGCGGCCCGGGTGTTGACTTTTTGAATACTGACCTAAATTTAATTCTTTTCAATCGTGGGTAGTTCCTAAGGCTTAATTTGAATCGTTTGGTTGGTAAATTGCTAGATTCTTTTGGTTCAAAGGCTTGTTTGAAAGGCAAAGTGGTGGTTGAGCTTTGAGGTTGGTCTTCGGAGCGAGGTAAGTATCGTGGTTAGCCTAGACTTGAGGGATTAAGACTTATTTGTCTATTTGCTACGTGTTTAGCTGTTGGGTGCAATGTATAGGTGAAGTGACGAGTAGCTCTACGTTGTTGTTGGGTAAAACATGCGGGTGGGACTTGGTTTCTTGTAATTATTGCTTTTCTTTGATCATGTTATCCATGTTTAGACTAGTATAATCAAGTTGATCATTCTTATCATGTTTACGGAGCTTTTGGTGATAATTGAGTATTGAATTCAAAGTTGAGGTTGGTATTGTGGAACCAAATATTGAAGTAAGACTTGTTCTTATGATTTCTATCTCCCTGTTGTCTTTTGTTCATTGTTTTGTAGTAAGGGAGAGTGTTAATGCACGAAGGTTATGTCGTGCCATGTTATGAGAGAGTAAAAGCACGAAGGGTGATGCGTGTCATCTTGTGAGTGTTAATGCACGAAGGGTGATCATCTTGTGAGTGTTAATGCACGAAGGGTGATCATATTGTGAGTTTTAGTGCACAAAGGATGATGCTGTGCCATGTTATGAGAGTTAATGCACGAAGGGTGATGCTGTGCCATGTTATGAGAGTTAATGCACGAAGGGTGATGTCGTGCATTTTCCTTTATTGTGTTTACTTGTTATTATTGGTTCAAGGTATATTGGTTGATCAAGGTCTCATTACTGCTGTGAATCTCTATCTTGTAATCCCCTCAGCATGTTACCCCTCCCGATATTACCTGTCCATCTTTTACTTGTCGTTATTTTGTACATATACTGTTAAATTACACAGGTTATTATGTGGGTGTCTTGTCATAGCCTCGTCACTACTTCGTCGAGGTTAGGCTCGGCACTTACCAGTAGATGGGGTCAGTTGTACTAATAATACACTGCACTCCTGTGCAGATTTTGGTATTGGTCCCAGCTGATCGAGAGGCGTAGCAGCTCGGATTGGTTCATCGGAGACTCAAGATAGATCTGTCGGTGTTTGCAGACCTTGAAGTCCCCGTCTATCTTTCACTACAAGAAAATAGGTCGTTAAAAGACTTATTCCGGTCGCTATAAGTCAATTACGACCGGAAAAAATCTGATCGCCAGCGGTTGCTAAAAGCTCCGTCGTTAAAAGTTAATGATCGGATTTCAACCCGGTCGTTAAAAAACCTTTAACGACGGAAAAAATCCGATCGTTGTACCTTCTTTTAACGACTAAATTTTCCCTTCGTTAAGTGCCATTCCAATCGTTAAATCTGTTAAGTACAATAACAAAATCCAACAGCTAAAAGTGCTTTGACCTTCACTAATAATCTATATATCTACCATGACATCCAAAAATCATCATTATAAGGTTATTACCCATATACACACATCTGAAAACAAACAAAATAATCAATATTCACATAAAATTTCATAGTCAATTACATAGAACAAAAGTGTCTCATTACGAAAAAATAGACCCATCTGAAATGTATGACATTATATTTTCAACTCCTAGCATAAGAGAATAGAATTGTAACATGTACAAATGATAACATCTTTAAATAACTTCTAACAAAAACTAAAAATAGGTCTCTTTTGTGCTTCAACTTGTTCTTTAACATTTTCAATTGCTTATACTTTGTTT